TTCATGGTAGATATGTCGACGACATTTTTGGAGGTGCAGACACACCACAAGAATTACAAGAAACCGCATTACAACTTCAAAATCTCTGTATGGCGGGAGGCTTCCCACTAGCAAAATGGGATTCAACTAACAGAGACATTCTCACAGCTATCAACGCTGAAAAAACACAAAATTCAACGATAGAATTTGAAGATTGCAAAACCAAAATTCTCGGATTACAATGGAGTCCTCAAGAGAACAAATTCACTTTCTCAACAACAGTTTTAGCTGACATGGACTGTTTCACGAAACGAAAAATCCTATCGGACATTGCAAGAAGCTTTGATCCATTAGGTTTTGTATCACCAGTAGTGATCAAGGGGAAACTACTACTAAAAGAATTATGGTTACATACAATAAGATGGGACGATCCACTTCCCACTAAAATATCATCAAGATGGCGTACCATAAAAAAGGATCTTTCAGAACTCAACAAAATCACCATACCACGATGGTTCAAGACACAAGGCGAATCAACAATTGAATTACATGGCTTCTCCGATGCCTCCCATTGGCAATAGGAGCAGTCAGTCATATACCTCACTACATTCAATTTTAACGACAAAAATATAGCCATTGTGTGTTCCAAAACAAAGGTAGCCCCGATCAAGAGACAGACCATTCCAAAACTAGAGCTGACAGCTGCCCTACTCCTGGCAAAACTCATGCTCTATGTCAAGAAAACACTAAAACTGAAATTCAAAGCAACATACTTGTGGACAGACTCAAGAGTGACACTGGCATGGATAAAATCCCATCCCTCACGCTGGAAGGACTATGTGAGAAACAGGGTCAGTCAAATCCAGGAAATCACATCAGATGCCCAATGGAACTATGTACCTGGAACATCAAACCCTGCAGACTGTGCTTCACTAGGACTAACCACAGATCAACTCCAAACCCACTCACTATGGTAGTCAGGGCCATCCTGGATACATTGACCAGATGCATGGCCAACCCAGCCAAAGCAAGGCAATGAACAATGCAAACAAGAAGTTCGTCCTGGCATATCATTAGCAGTCACAGCCACTAAACCAACCTACCACTGGCAACTAATACACAAGTACCCAACTCTACACAAACTCTTACGCATTACAGCAGTATGCATAAAATACGTCATCCAGCTAAAGAAAAGGCTTAAAATGACTCAATCAACTCCAGCAATAACAAACGAAACGGAATGGTCGAGAATCTTTTGGGTAAAGGCAACCCAATCCGCATTTTTCTTAACCGAATTAATGATCCTTCGATCTCAAGCATGCCTGCCGCCTGGCCACGCGTTTCATCGCCTAACAGCGTATATCGATTCACAAGGCATCATTAGAGTTGGAGGGAGGCTATCACAAGCATCAATAACTTATGATCAAAAGCATCCAGCAATTCTCCCACCAGAATCCACACTATCAAGTCTCATAATAAATCAAGCACATCTCCGCACACTGCACGGAGGCCCACAACTCACGTTGGCACACACACGTCAACAGTATTGGATTCTTGGAGGCAGACAATCTATTAAAAAACATATACTATACTGTACAATATGCGCTCGACAACGAGCAAGACGCGCACAACAATTTATGGGACAATTACCCGTCACAAGAGTAACGCCATCACCACCATTCTATCACACTGGAGTCGACTATGTCGGCCCACTAACAATAAAAACCTGGAAGGGAAGAGGAGCAAAAACACACAAGGCATGGATATGTGTCTTTGTATGCTTCGCCACATCAGCAGTACACCTAGAAGTGGTCAGCGACTACACAACAGACGGATTCATCGCAGCTTATCGCCGATTTTTCGCACGCAGAGGCATACCTCACACACTACACTCAGACTGCGGCACTACCTTCCTAGGAGCAGACAAAGTCATCAAGAAACTATTGCTACAAGGTTCTCACGAAAATCAACGAATTCTCAACATGCTCTCTCAAGACAACACTGAATGGGAATTCAATCCACCAGCTGCCCCCCACATGGGAGGAAAATGGGAAGCCATAGTGAAATCAACAAAATTTCATTTAAGACGCAGAATAAGAGAAACCTTACTCACATTTGAAGAGATAACTACTCTACTAACTAAAAACGAAGCTATATTGAACTCAAGACCACTAGAACCATTAAGCGATGACCCATAAGACTGCTCCGCATTAACACCAGGTCATTTCCTCATTGGAAACTCTCTAACAACATTACCTGAACCATCCTTAAAGGATGTAAACATCTCACATGTAACACGATGACAACTCGTACAGCAGCAAGTACAACAATTCTGGTCCCAATGGTCAGCACATTACTTTCAGTGACAACAATCAATCTCTAAATGGCATCACCCACAAAACATTATCCAGGTAAAAAACAATGGTGTTCATTACAAAGGAGCACCTTCCACCTTGCAAATGGCCCCTTGCCAGAGTGATCAAAATTCATCCAGGACCAGACGACTTAACCAGGGTCGTCACACTAAAAACAGCCTCCACTACAATGGTAAGACCCATCCATAAATTGTCAGTATTACCAATCCCCAAGAGTAGAGAGGAATAATCATCAATTCGAATTGCTGATGGCGGGCGGAATGTTCAAGAATGTAAGAAAACTCGGAATAAGAGTTCCGAAAAAGGCAACTCTGGGCTACGCGAGTAATAACATTCAAAAACGCGCCTCGGATTAACTAAATCTAAACAATTCAGCAAAACTTAGAATATCATAAGAAAATAACTTCATAAACACATCTGGCGAGAACAAG